TATCTATCTATCTATCTAAATCTATATCTATCTAAATCTAAATCTAAATCTATATCTATCTATCTATCTATCTATATCTATATCTATATATCTCTATCTCTAGATGATAGATAGATAGATAGATAGATAGATGATAGATAGATAGATAGATAGTCTTGAGAGAGATGTTGCCACCTCAATATGCACATTGGAAAGTTGGACTAGTTGAGACCTCCAGAGGGCACCTGGGAGATGAGGTGGGGTGGTGGGAGGGGAAAGCTGGCGGAGGTGTGTGGTGGGTGCTGCTATGAGTTAAGAGCTGGGTGGATCCTTGAGAGAGATGTTGCCACCTCAATATGCACATTGGAAAGTTGGACTAGTTGAGACCTCCAGAGGGCACCTGGGAGATGAGGTGGGGTGGTGGGAGGGGAAAGCTGGCGGAGGTGTGCTGTGGTGACTGCTCAGAAGTCAGAAATCTCCCACAATTGGATGGTCACAGTGGGCCACCCACACACAGCATCAATGACATCCACCACTACCTCCTCCTCGTCTGCTTCACCTACCGCCAGCCTCTACTTCAGTGCCCCAGTGCCACTACCACCGTGGGACACTACCCCAAGCCACTGACCGAGGTAGTTTAATTAACTTTAATTTAATCAACTGCCTCCTTAAAAATTTAAATACCTCCCCCCCAAAAAAATCCTGGCTATGGGCCTGCGTGTAGACTCTTAACAATGTAAATAAATAAATACAGAGGGGAACAAATTACCCTCTAAATCTGAAGGTACTGATTGAGATTGTGTATCTAGCTCAGTACTGGCTACTCCAAAGGGGACCACTGGCGCTTCCTGCTGCCCATATCAGCAGTGGGCCTTGTCGTTATTATTTATTTATTTAGAATATTTTTATGCTGCGTCTTAGGAGCCCCGCTCAAGGTGGCTTAAGATTTAAAACCACAACAAAAATACATAAATAAATTGTACTGTATTTCCTCTCAGGCTTCATCTTTGGGCTTAGTTTTTCTGTGGTGACTTGCTCAGAAAGAAACCCGAAGCCTGCTTTCCTTTGTTTACCACTGAGTAGTGAGACAGGAAGACTTGGAGGCAGATCTGAAACACCAGTCTTTTACCATTGGTGCCAATTAAATCCCCCAGCGAGGTTTGCTCTTCCCTGTAATTATCACGATTTATTTTTCATCAGCAAGCTACTCTGACTCCTAGGATGAGCCAGAGAACAGTCTTGGGCAAGTCTTTTGGTGGTTATAAAAAGTCAACCCCTCTGCCCTTCAAAGCTGGATGTGCTTTGTGATTGGTGGTGTGATCTCTGTGACGTTACTTCCCATTCTATCTGGCTGCCTTCAAGTCACGTATTGGTCATCTCTGATGTCCCTCTGCGGGATGCCTTTCAAGCCACTCATTTCTAAATTCATGGTGACCCTTTCCCCTTCTGTCAGGGTCTTGTCAGTCAGTCACCATACACAGCAACTTGATGACAGGCTCAGGAAGAGTCTGCATCTAGACAGAAGCTTTGCAGCCAGGATGCTGGTGCTACTGGTGTTGCCACTTCTCTTTACTCCCGTGGTGTGCAAAGATTTCATTCACTGCCCTGAGAGTGGCACTATCCTTGTCCCACACGAGTGGTATCAGTCAGGGGATCTCCTAACTGGTGGGATTATCTCTCAGATGATTTTTTACGCTTCCAAGTATTCTTTCCAGAACACACCAAAACACATTCCTTCTACAAAGTAAGTAAGCTTTTGTGATCAGCCGTGGAAATCAGTCGCCAAGGCTTCCTAAGAATTGACAGAGAATTAAGAATTCTCACCAAGGCTTCTTAAGAATGACATAGAATTGGTTTCACCACTACACAGTTTGGTGTAGTGGTTAAGTGTGAAGACTCTAATCTGGGAGAACTGGGTTTGATTCCCCACTCCTCCACTTGCACCTGCTGATGTGACCTTGGGTCAGTCACAAGCTCTGGCACAGCTGTCCTTGAAAAAGAGCCATTTCTGTCAAGAGCTCTCTCAGCCCCACCCACCTCACAGGGTGTCTGTTGTGGGGAGGGGAAGGGAAAGGAGTTTGTAAGCCGCTCTGAGACTCCAAGTGAAGGGCGGGGTATAAATCCAATCTCCTCCTCCTCCTCCTCCTCTTCAGTCTCCAGTTCTGACATATTTATTGCCTATGTTGTTCCCCCCCCCAGTTGAACCCAAACGGATGATAACCAGAAACCAAGCTTGTCATGCTTTTTATCAGTTAAAAAACATCTTCACTATTCCGCATGCTAATTTAACAAGCCACCCTCTATATATACAACTATGATCTGTAATTCCATTTCATTGTCTGAGGAAGTTTGCATGCACATGAAAGCTCACACCTTGAATAAAACTTTGTTGGTCTTAAAGGTGCCACCGGACTCTAAATTTTAATTCTGTTTAAGGGGGAGTTACATGACTTCTGAGACATGAGGTACAAATAAAAGGTTGATCTTACTGACAGGGAAATGAAATAATGAGAGCCCCAAAGGACCAGAACTGTGTATTATATCCTTGTAAGCCACCCTGAGGCTGCCTCGGCGGGGAGGGTGGGGGTATAAATTCAACTAATAAATAAATAAATATGTTTCTGAAAGCATATGGAATTCTAATTGCAGAATGGTGACAAAGTTCTACCAGCACAGTCTTGCCTTGGCGTTTGCTGTAAATGAGATTAATGAGAATCCTAAGATTTTGCCAAACGTCACCCTTGGATTCCACATCTATGACAGCTACTATTATGAAAGGTTGACATATCGTAGCATTCTGGACCTGCTCTTCAGATCACACAGATTAGCTCCTAACTACAAGTGTTCAGCCTCAAAGAAACTAATGATTGTGATTGGAGGACATGGCTCTGATATCTCCAACTGTATTTCAGGCATCTTAGGTCTCTACAAAATTCCACAGGTAGGACCTGAATTGGATGGATTTTCAGCTGCTGTATGCATTATTCTCTTTTTTCACTGCCTTCTCAGACTAGTTTTGTGGTTCAGAAGCATGATGATGTGTGATTAGATGTTTTACATTTATGCAATGTATAATATATGGAGCTGCGGTGGCTCAAGTGGTTAAGACGCTGAACTGCAGGCTGTGGAAGGTCAGTAGTTCAGCAGTTCGAGACCCGGGTGCCGCATGATGGAGTGAGCTCCCGTCTCTAGTTCCAGCTCCTGCCAACCTAGCAGTTCGAAAGCAAGAAATTGCAAGTAGATAAATAGGTACCACTTCGGTGGGAAGATAACAGCGTTCTGTGCACCTTGGTGTTTAGTCATGCCGGCCACATGACCACAGAAACGTCTTCGGACAGCGCTGGCTCTTTGGCTTTGAAACGGAGATGAGCACCGCAACCCTAGAGTTGGATTCAACTGGCTTTCGAGCAAGGGAACCTGAACCTTTACCTTTAATGTATAATATAGAATGTACACAATTCTTCCATTTAGACAGTAGGGACAAGAAAGAGAAGTCAGGATCAGATACTTCCCTGTACATGTTCCTCAGAAATGTCATGGTATTCCAAAATTTCAATTTATAGAATACCCGCCATGCCAGCTCTGCTGATTACAATCTGGATTTCAGACTGACAAACAGCCCTCGAAGAGAGGCCAGAATACAGATATGGACACTTCTTCTAATCCAACTCTAATATTCTGTATGTTTCTTTTAGTTCCCATATGGGTCATTTGCTCCAGAACAGAGAAAATCAGTGCAGTTTCCATTTTCTTACCACATGGCACCTGAGGAAACCCATCAGTACATGGGTATTATCTGGTTACTCAAGCATTTTGGATGGACATGGGTTGGACTCTTTGTGGTGGATGATGACAGTGGAGAACATTTCTTAAAGGCCCTGGAACTGTTGCTTTCCCAGCATGGAATCTGTCTGGCCTTCACACAACAAATGCCACACAGAAAACGTCTCAGTGACTGGACTGAAATAAATAACATGCTCTCAAAGATTTCAAAGATCTATCTATTGAGCAATGCCAGTATATATGTTGTCTATGGAGATTCTCAGACCATTGCATTCCTTATTACTATAATATGTTCGTTAAATGTTAATCATAAGGAATTTGAATCTGTTGGAAAGGTGTGGATTACAACAAGTCAGGTTGATTTTGCTGTATCAACACTTGAGAGGGATTTAGATCTAACCGTTTTCCATGGCACCATTTTCTTGGCAATTCATTCACGGGAGCATCCAGGGTTTGAGAAATTTCTTCAGGTGATAAAACCTTTCAGAACCTTAGAAGATGGGTTTTTCAAAGACTTTTGGGAGCAAGCCTTTGAATGTGTGCTTTCAAGTTTTCTAGGGACTATCACTAAATGTACGGGAAAGGAGAGACTGGACAGTCTCCCTGGTGCTGTTTTCGAAATGCACATGACTGGTCACAGCTATGTCATCTACAATGCAGTCTATGCCGTTGCCCATGCTTTGCACACCATGTACTCCTCCCGATCCAATGATCAGTCAGTCTTGAGAGGCAGGAATACTGAATTTCATGATGTCCAGCCTTGGCAGGTAACATGTACACAATGTGCATCTGGGCAAAAGGAGGCATGTCTTGCTAGCTGGCGATGTAATTTGACCAGTGTATTTTGAATGGTACATTTATGTAGTTTTAATGCATTTTATCTTTATTGTCTCGGTGTTTCTCTGTTTTTTTAATCTGTGTTCAGAAAAAGTTTTATTGCATTTTATATTATTGTTACTCATCTAGAAACCTGAGTTTTTCAAGAGAAGGAAAACAGGCAGGCAAGCAGGCATGCAGAGAGAGTGGATGGATGGATGGATGGATGGATGGATGGATGGATGGATGGATGGATGGGTGGGTGGGTGGGTGGATGGACAGACAGACAGACAGAAAGACAGACAGAAGGACAGATGGACAGATGGACAGATGGATGGATAATGTCTCTACTGCCATGATAGGATTTGTACAATGTTGAAATATCTCTTCCATGAATAAACTGGTTCTTCACATTATTCAATGACCAATTTTGGGGGGTTCACATATTCTGTTATGTTTGGAATTTGAAAATATTTGAATGTATAATAGGTCAACAGTAAGATATCTTCTGTTACTTCATTTTCAGGATGGGTCTAGCTGGAGCTGGATGGAAGTGTATCAGCATTAGCAAGAAAGGTGTTGTAATTCTCACTATGAAGAATCAAAGATGTTAGTGCCTTGACATTTCTTGTGTTTTTTTCAATTAGCTGCACCAGTTTCTTCAAGGAATGTCATTTAACAACTCAGCTGGAGAAACGATGTCTTTTGATGAGAACAGGGAAATGGGAGCTGGCTTTGACCTCCTGAACATGATCACCTTTCCAAACAACTCCATCATTAGAATGAAAGTTGGAAGGGTGGATCCCAAAGCTCCCGAAAGTAAAGAAGTCACCCTTGAGGAGGATTTACTTGTGTGGCACCGGGGCTTTAACCAGGTGTGGATTCTAAAGTATTTCAGAGGGCAGCTTCATTCTATAAGTTGGTTATCAGGTTGGGAATGACAGTAACATCCTTTGCATTATAACTGGACGCTGTTATGGCTGATCAATCCGGGTAATGAACTCAGTGCCGTCAATTCCTAAACAGATGCATAAAACTAAGGTGACAATTGTCTCCACTCCTATCAACACAGTGATTAATGAGATATCAAGAATGGTTTTGTTAATAGATCTTAAAACACAGGTACTGATCATTCTGAAGATTCATAGTGAAGGGGAAAACACAAGTTTTGTTTCATGTGATAGCAGCTGCTATGATGCTGGGGATAGAATTCCCGAAATCTGACGAAGTGAGATTCGCTGTGAATTATGCGGTGAATGGATTTGCCATTGCCCCTGTTTAATTCAAATGAAACATGAGGCTGCACTGGAAAACAAAGCAGCCAATTGGAGAGGGCAGCCAGCCCTTTTACCCTACTGTCTATTTGCGGCCCAACCTCAAAACCAACAGGTTATTGAAATAAGCAGTGATATAGATCATCTATTTACAATAAGTTGAATGCTGTTAAATAAATAAACCAGTTGGTGTCTCCTGTCTTCATTTGGGGGATGCTGGGGCAAATATCTAAGCTACAGGACTTGATTCTAATAGAGTGATCCGAAGCAAAATGACTTCTTTTTAAAGTCCGTTGTCTTAAAATGGGTCTAGAAGGTTTGACTCTATTTAAGATTACACCGTAAATCTCGGGAACTTTGCAAAGTTGAACAAAACTTCCTGGTATGTCTGGGTGAAAGAAGCGGGAGGGGGGAACTAAGCATTTTATAAGAGAATGCCATTTTAGCCCTTCCCTGAAAGCCCAATCTTATTCAATCTCAGAAGCTAAGCAGGGTCGGCCCTGGCTAATATCTTGATAGGAGACCACAGAGGAATCCCAGGGTTGCTATGCAGAGGCAGGCAGTGTGATTTGATGACCAAAAAAGTCATTTTAATTATTACTGGAAATCAAAGCAAGGCTTTTTTTCCCTATCTCATTGATAATCTGGTTTTTTCCTCCATGTAACAAAGTTTTTTTGTGATTAATGTCTGTTAGTTGCTATTAACATATATTACATTCTAAAGTTCTGTCTTCTTGGATAGACACTGCCTGTTTCGAGATGTAGTGATGCCTGTCAGCCCGGTTATCAAAAAAGAAAGAAAGAAGGGGAGCAGTTTTGCTGCTATGAATGTGCTCCTTGCCCGGAAGGGAAGGTTTCAGTCCAGAAGGGTAGGTGACTGTGACTTCCCCGAGAGTTGTGCAAGCACACATAAATACACATGTCCCCTGGGATTAAAAACAAAAGAGATGGCACTGAGGTCCATGTAACCATTTGGGGAAGGTTGGTAAAACACTTTTGGGGGGGAGGTTGGTAGAACACTTGCTATGCATGAAGGATGCCCCAGTTCAGTCACTGACGTCCCCAATTAAAATGATCTCAATCAACACATCTGGGGGAAATTACCGGGCTCTCACAAACAATTAGATAACAGGAAAATGCCCTTTAGGAGATACTCCTCAGGACAGGGATCCCCAAGTTTTTGAGCCTGCAGTTACTATTGGAATTCTGAACAGGATGGTGGTAACCACTGAAAAATGGCGACCAGATAGGGCGGAGGGAAGCACAAAAATGGTCGCCGCAGGAGGTGGAACCAAGTGCAAAATATCAGGGAGTGAGGCAATGCAGAACTCTTATGATAGCTCTTCAACAGTTCAAGGAGGAGCTCTGTTTAAGAGGATGCCTTTTAACTTATTTATTTATTTATTCTTCACATTTGTATCCCGCCTCAGGGCGGCTCACAAGGGCAAGGTAATCAGCCGTGCCATAAATAAACATCCAAAACATAATAAAAACAACTAACACTTAAAAACAACAACGGTGCTCAGTCACTGTTATCATAATCCAAGATGGAATCAACACAGTTCCAGGTGGTACTCCCATGAATGGCGACAGCTTATCAGATCTTCTTTACATATTCCAGGATCTTCATCAGGGCCTCGTCCATGCATCCTTAAGATACCATGACGGTGGTGGTATAGTGGGGCAGCGGCTCCTACTCTAAGGCCTGGCGGAAGAGCTCCGTCTTGCAGGCCCTGCAGAACTGCATAAGGTCCCGCAGGGCCCGGATCTCCCCCGGGAGCTCGTTCCATTGAATACACTGCATTTAAAAAATGTAAATCACAGACCGAAGAAAAATGTGCTGAGGTTTCAACTGTTCCAAAAGTGTTTTTTTTAAATATGCTGAGCCAATCAGATTTCCAGTAGCCAATGAGAAGACCTGCTGGGCAAAAGCCCCACCAAGCCATGCTGATGCCCGAAAAGTTCACAGTGGGTGCCGTGACATTGATTGATACCACAATGGGGACCCCCCTGCCCCAGCACATAACCATTTGCTGGAATTCAGTGTGAATAATATCTCACATATTGAAGGGAGTAAGATGAAACAGCCTTTAGCTTCAAGTGAACTTAAACTGAGATGGCCACTCTTCCTGTTTTCAGACTCAGATGTCTGTTCTAGATGTCCCGAAGATCAATATCCAAGCATAGACCAAGATCGATGTATTCCCAAGAAGATAAACTTTCTCTCCTATGAAGAACCAAAGGGGATCTGTTTAGCTTTAGCTGCCATTTCTTTCTTCACGATCACACTCCTGATACTAAGAATTTATATTAAGCACAAAGATACTCCCATTGTCAAAGCCAACAACAAAGATGTCACCTATGCTCTCCTCATTTCTCTCCTGCTTTGCTTCCTCTGTCCTTTCCTCTTCCTTGGAAGACCAAGCACCTTGACCTGCCTTCTCCGACAATCTGCCTTTGGTATCATCTTCACCGTAGCAGTTTCTTGTGTGTTGGCCAAAACCATCAATGTGGTTGTAGCTTTCATGGCCACCAAACCAGGGTCCAGCTTGAGGAAGTGGGTAGGAAAAAGAATGACCACCTCCATTGTCCTTTCCTGCTCCATTATCCAAATGTGTATCTGTACAGTGTGGTTAGGAACCGTTCCCCCATTCCCAGATTTGAACACCGAGTCAATGACAGATGAGATCATAATAGAATGCAATGAAGGGTCTGTGGTTATGTTTTATATTGTTTTGGGCTACATAGGACTTCTGTCTTCCATAAGCTTCACTGTAGCTTTCTTTGCCCGAAAGTTGCCAGACAGTTTTAATGAAGCCAAATTCATCACCTTCAGCATGATGATGTTTTGCAGTGTTTGGTTGTGTTTTGTTCCAACGTACCTGAGCACCAAAGGGAACTATATGGTAGCCGTGGAGATTTTCTCGATCTTGGCCTCCAGTGCTGGGTTACTGTGTTTTATCTTTTTCCCCAAATGCTACGTGATTGTTCTGAGGCCTGAGCTGAACAAAAGAGAACAAGAAAACATTAAATAATCAAGTTATCCCAAGCCTTTTTCCTGTGGAACAAAGATAATGTGACAAATCAGTGACCATATTTGGCTGGAAAGGCAGCATATGTATGTTTTAAATAAATAAATAAAAAGAAATACTCTAGGAGTTCCTTTGGTTTGTGATTTGTGTAACACTCCTCCTTTCTACTCATTTGTTCTAGCGTGTGACCACTTATTTGATTTGGGGAAATACAAGGCAGTTTGGCAGGCATTCTCAGTTGCTCAGCATGAACCAAACAGACTGGGTGATGAACTTACGTCTGATCACCTCCTTCAAACATGGTCAGTTCAAAGTTCAATTGTCGGATATGTTTCCTACAAAAGCTGCAGCAGCCCTGCATTGAGCACATGGAAGTTTGAAGACATGCTCTCTGTTTCAGACTCTCACTCAGGAACAAATCAAGAAATGCTGAGGCCCTGAGTTATGTCAAGTTTAAGAAGCCACATTATTAAGAAAAATATGCAATGGGGTAATATTTGGATGGGCGTTGGTTTTTTTTTTTTTTTGGTTTTTTTTTTAAAAAAGTCTGCTCATCACCAGCTGGCTGGTGGTGGGCTGAAGCCCCCAAAATCTGGGGGAAACCCACCCGGACGGGGGGGGGGTCTGGCAACCCTAGCTAAATTAAAGGAGGAGAGATTCTTGTATGCCAACATGGGCCCCTTGGAGAAAGGGCAAGATAGAACTCTTCACCCAAAGAGTGATTAACACATGGAATTCATTGCCACAGGAGGTGGTGGTGGCTACAACCATGGATGGCTTCAAGAGGGAATTAGATATGGAGTTGAGCAAACGTCAGAGGACGGTGGAAAACAGGAGGGCCTGGCGAGATCTTGTCCATGGGGTCGCGAAGAGTCGGACTCAACTGTGCGACTGAACAACAACAAAAAACAGGACCATCAGTGGCTATTAGCCACAAGGTATAGATAGGAACTCTCAGGCTGGGCGCAGGGATGCACTGTATTCTTGGAGGGGGGAACAGTGGGAGGGCTTCTGGTGTCCTGGCCCCACTGCTGGACCTCCTGATGGCACCTGGTATTTTAGGCCACTGCATGACAGAGTGTTGGACTAGATGGGCCATTGGCCTGATCCAACATTGGCTTCTCTTATGTTCTTATGTAGAGAGTCCAAATGACTGTTTAGGAAGAAATTAATTTGTTTGGTAGGTTTTTATCCAGCATTTCCTCTAAGGAAGTAAGGATGACACATAGGGTTGCCAACTCTGGGTTGGGATATTCCTGGAGATTTGGAGGTAGAGCCTGGGGAGGGGAAGGACTTCAGCAGGGTATAATAGCCTAGAGTCCAAAGCAGCCATTTTCTTCAGGGGATCCAATGGAGATCCGTTGTAATTGCAGGCGATTGCTAGGCCCAACATAGAGGCTGGTGACTCTAGTGGCACACATGGCCAACCCCTTCATTTTATCCCCACAACAATCTTATGAGGTAGGTTAGGCTGAGGGAGAGTTATTGCCTGAAGTCACCCAGTGGGCTTCATCACAGAGCAGGGACATGAACCATACCTGAGTCTGACAGAAACACCACATCATACTTTACTGATTATTGGATCTGCAGTCCTTTCTTGCCTGTCTGTCTCTGGCAGATCCACCAGGAGATTTTAATCAGTGTCTGAGAGGAGTCTTGGAACTGAGCCATTCGTTTTCATTCGGACTACTGGCTTGTGGGCAGGTCAGATGCCAGAGATGTGTGACGAGGCCTAGGCCCAAAAAGGTTTGGGAGCTTTGGTGGAAACGTGGGCAGAAAGTCCAGCACAGCTGCCCTAAGAGATGGATTTCACTGGCTTTTCCAGTCCTTTTTGCCCAGTTCACCTCCTTATCACAGACCTCATCCCCTATGGCTTTGATCCATCATGCTGGTCTCATGATCCTTAGTGTAGCCATTTTGGGTGGCTACAGGGGTCTCTTCCTCCTTTCTTCATCAGCAGAAAAGCCAGTTGGATACAACCTCAATTCTAGAGCAAAAACCCAAGGGTTCCACCTGTCCCACTTGGAGGCATCAATACATATGAAAACAAAAAGGCCTTGTTAACTGTTTATTCTTCAGTGGGGGAAATTAATCTCTGAGGAGAGATTCTGTTTTGATACGAAGAACTACCCTCCACAGACAAGTTCTCAAGGGTCTTCTTTATCTTGTATACAAGAGACGTAAAAAAAAAAGCTTGCAAACCTTTTAGACACCAGATTTGAGCACAATATGCAATTCACAATCTGACTTTCCCAAAGTCAATGAAGTCTCTTCTCTGTCCTCTAATAAGACTACATCTGAGCCCAGGGTAAGAGACACACTCCTCAGATTCCAACCCTGGGTCATCACGCCCTGAACCGGTTAGAGAGCACTTTTCCTTGTGCCACAGAGGCACAGGAATGTGGATGACTACCAATGCTCCCTCTAAGCTGTGGAGTCTTGTGAGCAAAAATTCTATTTTGTGAGCTACTGACCCTGAAGCTGTGAGTGAGCAATTTGGCTGCTGCATAAATTAGTTTGCTCCGGAGCCAAGCAGAAGGAGTTAAGATGAGGAAGTCAGAGGAAGGTTTCCTAGGGTGCCTTCTCTGAAGAACAGATCACATAGTTTCTAGGGAAACAAAGAAGACCGTACAGGTCTAAGTCTGGTCTAAGACATTCCATCTGTTAGTAAAGACTCATAAGGTCCATCCACACCTCATTGGATATTGCACTATAACAATAATTCACCACTCAATTTTCACGTGCTAACCAGATGATCCAGTCACGAATGACTGCTCTAATGCAGCAATGGTCTGATGCCTAATAATGTGTGGAAGCAAACTTAGTAAACATACATAGACAATTATTGTATTCCAAAGCTGTCTTCCTTCTCATACAAAGGCTATTTTTTCACATACAGTGGTGCTTCCTTCAGCAACAGCTGCATGCACTGTGTGGAGTATAAGCCACACCTTACCTGCAGATGCTTTAGCCATTCTGAGCATCTTTCGTTTGCCACTGAACACTGGAAGACTAGCTTTGCTGCAGATTGGTTCTGTGCCCTGGATGGAACTAGCCAGCAGGATCACAGCACAGGAGATGTTTCTGCTGGAGGGATCAATGCTTCAACTCGAGGAACAGAAAACAGGAATTATTACCAGGGCAAAGGAGGCTGAGGTAGGAACCACAAAGGTATGGGTGTGAATAGTGCCTCTTTCTAGAAAAAGGTGTGATTTTCCGCAAACAACGGTTGATATTCTTTATAAAATTACAGCCAAAGAGAGAAAGGAGGGGAGGGGGGATGGAAAGGAAGGGTCGTGCAAAGAATCACCTATTGTCAGTTGCGTTTCTGATCTTCCCTTTGCTTTGATCGACTTGATCATCATCCCAAAGAAATGGTGTGTGTGTTAAATTCTTGCAAAACTATTGGTGGGAGGAGGCTAGAGCTTGAGAATGAGAATGAGAGCAGGACAGTAAAGAAGAGCCATGTGAGGAAACCTGAGGGCCAAGGCAGACAGGGACCCTTAGAAAGGAAAACAAGGTACAGGTGCTTGTATTCCCATGCTAAATGCCTCTGAGCCAAGATGGGGAAGCTGGAGTGCTTGATGCTAAATGACAATGTAGATACAGTGGGCATTTCAGAAACCTGGAGGAATGGGGAAAATCAATTTAACACCATTATCCCTGGATATAAAGTCTACAGAGAGGACAAGGAGGACAAGCTGGGGGTGGTGTTGTTCTGTATATCAAATAGGAATAGAGTCAAACAAGCTAGAAAACATTAGGAAAGTTAATGTCTTGACAGAAGTATTCAGAGTGGAGATACTGGGCCCTAAGAACTACTTAAAAGTGGGAGTCTATCACCCCATGGATCAAAATCAAGAGGCAAATGTCAAGATGGAGCAGGGAAATAAGGGTGTTGACCAAAGGGGAAAATGTTACAATACTGGGTGACTTCAACTATCCTCACATTGATCAGTGCAAACATGTGCTTAAGGCATGCCACAGAAACAAGCTTTCTAGTAATAAATTGCTGTGCCCTGGAGCAGTTAATCACAGAGCCAACTAGAGGTATAGCAACTCTGAACTTGGTTCTGAGTGGTGCTGGAGATTCTTGTGCCAGACATAAATGTTGATGCACCAGTTGGGAACACTGAAAAGTTCATCATTCATATCAACAGAAATTTGTCCCCAAAGTCCAAAACAATCCCTTTTGATTTCAAGTGGGGGAAATTTGCTAAAAGTGAGAGAACCAGTCAGAAGACAGTTAAAACAGAATCAAGTTAAGAGAGTCAAATCCCTCCAGAATGCCTAGAAAGTACTTAAAACCATGCTGATTGAGGCCCAGATAGAATGCATACCTCAACAAAGGCACCAACAAGTCTAAAGGAATGCCTGCATGGTTAACAACTCAAGTCAAAGAACTATATAATCCACACAGAGTTCTGTGGGTGGGATAAACAGGTGGTGGACAGACTATTTTTTTAATTTTCTACGTCTTTTAATTCAAAGATAAGTCACATATACATAAAATCCAATAAGCATAAACAGTAATACATTCAACCCTATTTCAACGACACGTAAACAAATACAGTTAAGATGTTTCAATATAGCCATATATCAAAATTAACTTTGCCTGACTGAGGCCTTAGGCTCTTTGTTTTGTTCCCAAGTATCCTACCACTAATATGTGAGTGTCTTATAGTACCATTAAGATATAATTAAAAGCTTGTGGAAAGAGGAGTGCTCAGACCCTAAAATAAAGGCTAACTAAAGTAAGAAAAAGCAACTCATAAATGAAGCCATTCAGCGTCACCTACATGTGCTGGTAGAATGTCATGTTCTGTGAAGTAGGTTATTAATGCAAACCACTTTCATATGAATCTAGACTGTGATCCTGAGTGCCCTCGTGTGTGTGTGTCTCATATGTGTCAGCTATTTTGTCCATCACGTAGTGATCCCAGCATGATAACTGTATTATCTGATTCCAGATGGAGTCGGCCAATGGGACTGGAGTGCAAGAATTCATTCTGATGAGCTTTGGCGGTGGACAGCAGAAGCGGTTCCTGCTCCTCATCTTTTTCTTCATTCTCTATGTGCTCACTTTGGCTGAGAATATTACCATCATTACACTGGTGGTTTTAGATACCCACTTGTCCCGGCAGCCCATGTACCTCTTGCTGAGCAACTTCTCCTGGCTAGAGATCTGTTATGTGAGCACCACAGTGCCCCGGATGCTTTTTGACCTGACATTTCCTCGTGGGATCATTTCCTTCCGTGACTGTTTCCTTCAGTTCTACATCTTCTTCTCGCTGGGCAGCACTGAATGCTTCTTCCTCTCAGCCATGGCCTTGGATCGGTACTTGGCCATCTGCCACCCTCTGCGATACCCACAAACTATGTCCCAAGACTTCTGCTATATTCTAATGGTTACTTGTTGGATCCTCGGTTTCCTGTGGCACATTTGTCCGGTGATTTTGATCTCCAAGTTGTCCTTCTGTGGCCCCAATATCATTGACCACCTTTTGTGTGATCCTGGACCAATTCTATCCTTGGCCTGCCCACCACTAGGAATTGCCCCCAAAGTCTGTGAGATTTTTATGAATGCTGTGGTTTTAGGTAACGCTTTCTTCGTTGTGCTGTCCTACACTGTGGTGATTCTGACCCTACTGAAATCCTCCTTCCAAGGCACCCGTAAGAAGGCCTTCTCCACCATATCTTTCCACCTAGTGGTGGTGACACTCTTCTATGGCTCGGTGGCAGCGGTGTATTTAACCCCAGCTGGAGACAGTCAGAGCTGACTAAAGCAGTGACGGTCTTCTACACAGCTATTACACCTTTTCTCAACCCCCTGATCTATTCTTTGAGGAATGATCAGGTGAAGGAGGCACTCCACAGGTTGCTGAGGAGAAAGATATTAATGTCAGATCGCAGAAGCAGAGAAGGAAGGAAAATGAAACATTTAACCAACCAGTCTAAAAGATAGATCCAGGTGGGCAGGTGGGAGGGAAAGCTGAAGATGGGAGCAAATGAAGGTAGGTTAGCCGGTGGGTTAGAAAAAGAGAAGGAACCTCAAACCTTTGCAGGTCCCCCACTTGTTTGAGAGCCAGTTTGGTGTGGTGGTTAAGTGTGCGGACTCTAATCTGGGGGAACCGGGTTTGATTCCCCACTCCTCCACTTGCACCTGCTGATGTGACCTTGGGTCAGTCACAAGCTCTGTCAGAGCTGTCCTTGAAAAAGAGCAGTTTGTGTCAGAGTTCTCTCAGCCCCACCCGCCCTCACAGGAGTTTGTAAGCTGCTCTGAGACACCTTTGGGTAGTGAAGGGCGGGGTATAAATCCAATCTCTTCTTCTTCTTCTTCTTCTATACAGCACCATGGGGTGGGAGGGCATCTAGACTGAGCCGATAATCCTAAGGGAAAGGAGGTCAGTTCTTTCTTTCCACAAATAAAGCAATTTTCCAGAGAGGCTATGTCTCCACCATCTTTCCAGCTACTTGAAATCTCAGTAGAGGAAAATACAGAGTGATTCTGCATCTAGCATCGACATTTTCTCAACTGGGAGGGGAAAGTGCAGCTCAAAACCACATTCAAATACCTCGGGGCAACACTATACTGACTGCAGAGTCACCCCTGAATGGCCATAAAATGGCCATAAATCTATGCAGAAGGTTCAATTAAATCCGATGATCACAGTAAGCAAAAGCGGCATGCAGTGTGGAGGGTACCATAAAATCCGATGATCAAAGAATGTGAACGCAGCATGCAATGCAGAGGGGAATTTCTGTTCCAAAGTGGGTTTCGTAAAGCAATGGAGGGAAAAGCCAATGCAGAATCAACCACAGGTATCTGGATTGTGTCAAATCACTAGCTTGGAAGGGTTGAAAAATGGGGGGTCACCATCAGCAAAGGCGTTATGTCATTTACAGGAAAAAAACAGCTCTGAAAGAACTTGTAACTGACCCAAGGTCACACCAGCAGCTGCATGTGGAGAAGTGGGGAATCAAACCCAGTTCTCCCAGATTACAGTCCACCGCTCTTAACCGCTGCGCCAAACTGGCTCTCAGTTGTAAAGAAGAGATTGTCAATTGGGCTGAAGGGTTATGAAATGCAGGAAATACAGAGATGTAGTTATGTAAACACCAATGTAATCCATAAAAATCCAGGGACCATTCCTAATCTCAATAACCGGCGATGATACATGATAGTAGTGAGTTTATGCTGGGATTAGGGTTGCCAGCCATCTTGGAGAAAAATATTCTGTTGCTCTAACAGAGGCTTCATGTGTGGGGAATCGGGTGTTGAAGCTTTTCATGGCATGCAGGTAAATAACATCACTCAGTAAATAACACCCCATTAAACCTCTGTTAAAGGAATAAGACCTTTTTTTCCTCTCCAGGCTGCTGGCAACCCTAGCAGGACTCACATGGCCACTGTCAAAAAGCAGGACATGTTTAAAAGTAGGTGACAACTGGGCATTTACATTTAATGATTTTGTTGGATTTCATGGAACACCCAAGCCTCTCCCCGTTTTTCATGGACGTGGTAAATGTCCCCACAAACTAGGCTGCTATAAAACACAGTCTGTTTATAATATTGAATGCAATGGAATTGGGTGAAATTTCTCCTTGTATTTTTCTGTAGCTTGCATTCTGGCCCTCAGTCTAAGAGGATAACTTGTAAAGGCATACCAGGAAAATAAGCTGCTCCCTAGCCCTTTCCCCACCTAGATTTTGGGTACCAAGGAAATAAGAACAAAATCCACGTACTGAACAACTTTCCCTGCTCTTTGGATATTCAGACAATACAAACATGGAAGATGGACAAGTATCTCTTATATCCCACAGTGACTGTGTTAATTCTCACACATGCTTGGTTTCATAGGTCCCAGTCACACGGGCCGTAAAATGCGGGGGGGGAAGCGTGGCAGTTTGGCCCGGAGCAAAATAATGCACGGCCGCCCGATCACAAGTCCCGTCGAGGTCCCATGGGTACGGGCGAGGTGGCGATCACACGACGATCCTGCAGCGCGGCAAAGGAGATGGAATTGGGTGAAATTTCTCCTTGTATTTTTCTGTAGCTTGCATTCTGGCCCTCAGTCTAAGAGGATAACTTGTAAAGGCATACCAGGAAAATAAGCTGCTCCCTAGCCCTTTCCCCACCTAGATTTTGGGTACCAAGGAAATAAGAACAAAATCCACGTACTGAACAACTTTCCCTACTCTTTGGATATTCAGACAATACAAACATGGAAGATGGACAAGTATCTCTTATATCCCACAGTGACTGTGTTAATTCTCACACATGCTTGGTTTCATAGGTCCCAGTCACACGGGCCGTAAAATGCGGGGGGGGAAGCGTGGCAGTTTGGCCCGGAGCAAAATAATGCACGGCCGCCCGATCACAAGTCCCGTCGAGGTCCCATGGGTACGGGCGAGGTGGCGATCACACGACGATCCTGCAGCGCGGCAAAGGAGCGGCACGGCACAATCTCACCAACGGCATGACCGATTCTGTGGAGGAACGGAACTTTCGCTTTCCTCTTCGTGCACATGCGCCGTTGGGTGCTTGTGTGCATCCTGTGGAGACTTGGGGGAAAAAACCTGTTTGTGACAGGACATGGGGGGGCGCCGGATGCCACGGACTACCTCCGGAAATGCGATCAGACGCCCGCCCTTGCCCCGCGGTTTCCGGAAACTAGTACCTCAGAGGTACTATTTTTTAACTCCGCATCTTTGGCGGGAAGCCTCAGGGTTCGCCATGGGAGCTCTACGCTTCCCAGATGTTGCGGTGTGATCTCGCCCAGAAAATCCGCCTATCATCCGTCTCAGTAGCGTGGCTAATGCTCCGTGTGACCGCAGCCTTAGTATTGCTTAAATAAAAGAAGCAATTTTTATCATACAATTGGTCTGGCTTACTTACTGATTCATACAGGCAGTGTTTTCCTTTGTATTATAGGTATATCCCTACAACTTCCTCTATAATTGCTAATTATTTGGCTATAAAAAAAAATCCAAACACAGACTTTATTTTTTTTTTTTTTGCAAGAAGCAATTCGCTCCCAACAGCTGATTATACAGGAAGGCCTGAACTGAAAGAAATTGCTCTTCTGCATCTGGAGCAACAGAAACCATCTCACATGTGCTGTTACATGGTCCTTGGTTTATTGAACCAAGGTGTGATATATTGGGATCTCTTGTCAACTCCGACATTCAGTCCTTTAGTCATTATTCTGAAACAGTTGTTATCAAGCTATGTGGCCAGGCTGGTTGCTGTACCTAGAGTTCTTACATACATTTTAAATTATCTTAGTATCTATTGTTTTATTGACTTGCTCTGTTTTCATTTTATCCATAAACCCACCAACCTATGGTTGAAGGGATTGAAAAACAAAATAAAGATTAGTATTGTTTAGGGTTTGGGTATTTTCTTTTTCTTCCCTTTGTGTCACGTCATCACTCGGCTCCTCAGTAATTTCACCCTTCTCTTCCACAACCTTCGCAGTGCTTCCTTCACCTGATCGTTCCTCAGACAATAAATCATGGGGTTGAGAAAGGGTGTAACGGCAGTATAGAAGACCGTCACAACTTTAGTGACCTCTGAAGAATTATCTCCACTTGGAGCTAAATACATCCCAATCACAGAGCCATAGAAAAGGGTCACCACCAACAGGTGGAAAGATATAGTAGAGAAGGACTTCTTAAGACCGCCTTGGAAGGAGGTTTTCATCAGGGTTAGAATCACAACACCGTAAGACAGCAAAACAAAGAAGACATTGCCTAAAACCAATACATTCATAAACATTTGGCAGACACTGGGGGCGATTCCTAGCGGAGGGCAGGCAAGAGACAGAATCGGCCCAGGGTCACACAGGAAGTGGTTGATGATTCGGGGGCCACAGAAGGACAACCTAGAGATCAAAATCACAGGGATAACATACCACAGGAAGCCAAGGACCCAACAAGTAGCCACCAGAACATAGCAAGAATTGGGGGACATAATTTGTGGATAGCGAAGAGGATGGCAGATAGCCAAATACCGATCCAAGGACATGGCTGAGAGGAAGAAGCATTTGGTACTGCCCAGTGAGAAGGAAATGTAGAACTGAAGGAAGCAGTCACTGAAGGAAATGATCTCATGAGGGAATGTCAGGACAAAAAGCATCCGGGGTACTGTGGCACGTACATAACAAATCTCTAGCACAAGGCAAGGCATGGGAGTTCTGCTGCATAAGTAGTGCTGTGGGTTTAATCAGTCACCTGAATGAACTGGAGGACTATATCCCTTGATACGGAAAATCCTCCGGTTTTGAGGATATTCCACAGAGTTCTTGGTTGATCACTTGTATACAGAGATTTTAGTCAGAAACAAACATTCCCATTTCCACAAAGGGACAACACACCAGGGTTAATGAATAAATGCAGTATTTACTAAGTATTTCTCAAGCATACGAAAACAAATATACTCATAGATTCATTCAAGATCCCTTTAGTTGCAGTAGTCAATAGAAAGCATTTCAGTATGAAAATTAATACTTCAGACAAACAATGGGGTCGGACACAGAAGGGTAACATTATACTCATCTGATCCTTGTTGAAGAGATTCTTCCTAGTGGGACATCAGGGACAAAAGGTCATACCAAAGGACTCTTCTCTCACACGGGTAGATAAACCAACCACGTGTGTGTCTTCTTTGGTGTGCACTCCCAAACAAAACCCAAGAGAATCACCTGCAGCAGAGCTTAGGTTGCCCTAATGTGGAAGGGGGGGCTTTCTCTCGCTAGCATGCTGGCTAGCGGGCTGCATCTTAAGTTGCAGGAGGGTGGGGAGGCGTGCGCTGACCTAACCCTAACCCAAGAGAGAAGAGAGAGAAACAAAGGCTGTGTTTCCTCTTTTAAAAGCTTGTTTTGGGGCTTGGCTTAAAGCCAATAAACCCCTAGGAAAACCATCCCCTTTCCTATGCTATAGGTCCACAGGTTGTGACGCTATACCTCGAGGGGAGGGGGCGATATTCAGATTCTAGACCTAACTTCAAAGGGGAGCCATGTGGTGATGTGTCAACGCCATATTCCCATGGTAACCTTTGATGTGCAGAGATGTGCCTGGTCCATGGGCAATAAAAGATGTGTTCTTTGTGATGCCAAAACCAGATAGGAGGCCGGGTTACGTGGTTTCCCACAGTTCAGCAATGGTGGGAAAACCTGTTGTTCTGCCAAGTTTCCAACTGAGCAATAATGGCATTTAGTCGTCTTTGTCCTGAAGCATGCTGGGAAAGTGCAGGGAGCACGTGTCCTGTGGCACAAGCCTTGCTCATCCAAACGCAAGCATGAGATGTCAAGCAAGCCATACAAAACACACAGCAGCAATCCCCTTATCCCAAATGCACAGATGTACAGACATTTGACAGACATAGCATCAGCACAGTACAAAAACAATGCAGTTACAAGCAAACATGGTAACACCCTGAAGAACAAAGCCACTTTTGACCAAAAATTGCATCTCTTGGGACGTCTCCTTGCTCAGCCACATGATGAATGCCTTTGTATCGTGCTGAAGCAGAAAAGCACATCTGTATCTTGTTTTACTTGTTTGAGAATATGTATGCGCCACGCTCCATGTCAGCATTAGAACATATCTCAGAATAGAATGTCAAAGCACAACAACAACAAAACAGCGCCACAAACAAGCACCAGCAATACAAAGTCTGAGTACAGTGGCACCTTTTAACACCAACAAAGGTTTATTCAAGGTATAAGCTTTCATGTGCAAGAACACTTCTTCAGATACAGTGAAATGGACGTTGCCAGTCCATACATATAGGTAGAGGCTGAGAGGAGCAAATCAACATACAGCATAGTGAAGATGCTGAACAGATATAAGAACCAAACAAGAATAACAAGCTTATTTTATATGGTTACCATTTGTTTGGGTTTAATTTTTTTTGGGGGGGGAATTGCAGGAAGTAAATATGTCAAAATTGGAGACTGATGGGCAGATGTGTCCTTAATTGTGGAATGCTGAGAGTAATTAACTGAGACCCTGCCATTATGCTCCATCCATCTCCTCTCAAGTATGGAGGTGACCCTACAGCATCTTCTTCTTTTACGTGTAGTGACTGGCTGTGTAGAGCCAGTTTGGTGTAGTGGTTAAGTGCGTGGACTCTAATCTGGGAGAACCGGGTTTGATTCCCCACTCCCCCACTTGCACCTGCTGGATGACTTTGGGCAAGCTGTAGTTGTGATAAGAGTTGTCCTTGAAAAAGAGCCGTTTCTGTCAAGAGCTCTCTCAGCCCCACCTGCCTCACAGGGTGTCTGTTGTGGGGAGGGGAAGGGAAAGGAGTTTGTAAGCCACCCTGAGACACCTTTGGGTAGTGAAGGGTAGGGTATAAATCCAATCTCTTCTTCTTCTTCTTCCCCTGTCCCCAGACCAGAGAAATACATTCCAAGCATCTCTGAGGTCCAAAGGCCAAGCTAGACAGGGGAACATCCTCATGGCCCCTACAAGGATGCTGCCGCCATTTTAAAGTGATTCTAAGATGCTGCAATGTCCCAATCTTGATTGAGCCCACAGTATGGCTGGCTATGGCGCTCTTGTCCCCCCACACCCCATGACTTATCAAGTGCCAAAATGGCCTCTCTCACACACAACTCAAAGCTGTTTCAGCACTTGAAATAGGGTCGACAACCTACAGGTGGAGCTTGAATTGAAAGTAATTGTTCTTCTGCATCTGGAGCAACAGAAACCATCACACATGTGCTGTAACAGGGTCCTTGGGTTTATTGAAGCTAGGTGTGATATCAACTCTGACATTCAGTGCTCCGGTAATTATTGTGAAACTGTTGTTTTCAAATTATGTGGGCTGGCTGGTCGCTGTTGCGAGATTTCTCACATAAGTTTTTAAATAATCTTAGTATTGATTGTTTTATTGACTTGCTCTGTTTTCATTTCATCCCTCATCCCACCAACCTATGGTTAAAGGGATTGAACGATGAAATAAAGAGTAGTATTGTTTGGGGGAGGGTTCTGTTTCTTCCCTTTTTTATGTTGTCACTTTGCCCCTCAGCAATTTCACCTTTCTCTTCCACAGCCTTCGCAGTGCTTCCTTCACCTGATCGTTCCTCAGACAATAAATCATGGGGTTGAGAAAGGGTGTAACGGCAGTATAGAAGACCGTCACAACTTTAGTGACCTCTGAAGAATTATCTCCACTTGGAGCTAAATACATCCCAATCACAGAGCCATAGAAAAGGGTCACCACCAACAGGTGGAAAGATATAGTAGAGAAGGACTTCTTAAGACCGCCTTGGAAGGAGGTTTTCATCAGGGTTAGAATCACAACACCGTAAGACAGCAAAACAAAGAAGACATTGCCTAAAACCAATACATTCATAAACATTTGGCAGACACTGGGGGCGATTCCTAGCGGAGGGCAGGCAAGAGACAGAATCGGCCCAGGGTCACACAGGAAGTGGTTGATGATTCGGGGGCCACAGAAGGACAACCTAGAGATCAAAATCACAGGGATAACATACCACAGGAAGCCAAGGACCCAACAAGTAGCCACCAGAACATAGCAAGAATTGGGGGACATAATTTGTGGATAGCGAAGAGGATGGCAGATAGCCAAATACCGATCCAAGGACATGGCTGAGAGGAAGAAGCATTCAGTGCTGCCAAGTGAGAAGAAGATGTAGAACTGAAGGAAGCAGTCAGTGAGGGAAATGATCCCATGATGAGGGAATGTCAGGTCCAAAAGCATCCGGGGTACTGTGGCACTTACGTAACACATCTCCAGCCATGAGAAGTTGCTCAGCAGGATGTACATGGGAAGGCGGGACAGGTGGTTGTCCAGAACCACCAGTATGATGATGGTGAGGTTCTCAGCCAATGTGAGTACATAGAGAATGGCGAAAAAGATGAGGAGCAGGAACCGTTCCCGTTGGCCGACTCCAAATCCCAGCAAGATGAATTCTGTCAGGGTGGTCCCATTGAACTTTTGGCCCATCTCCATCTGGAATCAGAATAGAAAGGTGTCCATTTCAGATATCAAAAGCAGTTACCAGTGGTCCCTCTAAGCTGTGGAATCTTGTGAGCAAAAATTCTACTTTGTGAGCTGCTGGCATTAAAGTTGTGAGCAAGTGATTTGGCTACTACATAACTCAATTTGCTCTGAAGCCATCCTTCCTGAGCTAAGACAGAAATATGTGAGCCAGAGGCTAAAAAAAATGTGAGCTAGCTCACACTAACTCAGCTTACAGGGAACGCTGGTTACTACTACCTGTTCATCTTTTTTTTCAATTGAAAGTTTAAAAAAAAATCCCTAGCAGGATTGCCCTTTAGGAATGGCAGGATCCATTCCTTCGTTCCTCAGAAGCAACCTTTTCCGCATGAGTTCTAAATTAATGTGTAAGTAAGAACAACCCCAACAAATGCTCTTGAAATGGACTGCTGTTGGGCAACATAATTTTTAATATTTTTAAAAGCCTCCCTTTATGCCCTATCAGGGCTAAAGGCAGAAGAGGTAGCAGTTACAATAGGTGACAATGGTATGGAACAGAGTTGAACAAAGTCCTTAGGAAGTGCCCCAGTCCTGACCCACAGTGTAAACTGCTTGGGGGATGCTATTACAAGCCCACCTATGCCTAATTTCATGTAATCTTTGGGCTGCAATATGTTAACATTGACTTTATCGGCATATATATACAAGCAGAGCATATTGTGGGCAAAGGTAATCCTATAACGCAGAGAGCTCAACAGCTGATCCTGTTTCAGTTTCCCCAAGACAGCACTAGCCACATCAAACTTTTGCTATTATAGACAATGCAACAGTTCTCTGCAGGGACAGCAGACCTCTCCAACCCTAATGGGAACATCTCCCATCTATTAACCATTCTGAACAATCAACAGATGGTTAGCCTCACAAAGAACGGCTGATACTATCATCCTCCGCTGCTAGATCAGAAGGTTGGATGAAAGAGCCTCTTTTGACATCCCTGCTTTGGAAAGGGGTTGTCAGCATGGGAGGGTTGTGTCCAGTGTTCCGTCTAAGCTGAGTTAGTGTGAGCTAGCTCACAGTTTTTTAGCCTCTAGCTCACAGATTTTTGTCTTAGCTCAGGAAGGAGGGCTCCAGAGCAAACTAATGTATGCAGTATAGCCAAATCACTTGCTCATAACTTTGATGCCTGTAGCTCACAAAGTAGGATTTTTGCTCACAAGACTCCACAGCTTAGAGGGAACATTGGTTGTGTCTGAGATCTGTTTTTTGCCTTGAACGTCCTTTTTTTCTCCCATGCATGCTTCCAAGTTCCGATGTTGCACTCTGTTTCACAGCACATTTTTTGCATCCCTCTCTTATGATCATTTCCTCCCTCTTCCTTTGGAAGGCTCAAGATCACTGAAATGCCTCCCCAGCCAGCCTCCCATTCAAGCGGAGTCCTGCTGAGCTTTAAGAAAGTCATAGTGTCCTTCCAAGATCTTTCCTCCAAGCATTTGCTGATCTCTCCTGTGCATTTTGGTAGTTACTGAGGATTGACTGGAGGTTGTATCAAAGTTTCACACGGTCAGATACATGTTCCTCTAACTTTGCTGAAGCTTGAAGAATCTCACAAAAAGCCAGGGGAACTGGGGATGGAGGGGGACGGTTAACATTTAAGGGCGTATAAAATCTGCAGAGGGAAAGTCAGCCAGAGCCTCCTAGCTAGAGAATCATGCTTTCCCTCCCTGCCTAAGGAAACGTCTCCACAGCTGGCCAGCAGCTATGGAAGCCAGCCTCAACAGCTGCATTGTTTGTGTCCTCCCCACCTCCTATTTCATAGAATCCTAGAACCACAGAGCTGGAAGGGACCTCCAGGGTCATCTAGTCCAACCCCCTCCACGAACCTAAACAGCATGATAAAAAGTAGAGACATCACCCTGCCAACAAAAGTCCACATGGTCAAAGCAATGGTATTCCCAGTAGTCATGTATGGCTGCGAGAGTTGGACTATAAGGAAGGCCGAGCGCCGAATAATAGATTCTTTTGAACTATGGTGCTGGAGAAGACTCTTGAGAGTCCCCTGGACTGCAAGGAGATCAAATCAGTCGATCCTAAAAGAAATCAACCCTGACTGTGCCCTGGAAGGCCAGATAATGAAACTGAAGCTCAAATCCTTTGGCCACCCAATGAGAAGGGAGCACTCACTGGAGAAGACCCTGATGCTGGGAAAGATTGAAGGTCAAAGAAGACGGGGACGGCAAAGGATGAGATGGTTAGACAGTGTCATAGATGCAACGAACATGAAATTGAGCCAACTTCAGAGGATGGCGGAAGACAGGAGGGCCTGGCGGGACCTGGTCCATGGGGTCGCGAAGAGTCGGACTCGACTGTGCGACTGAACAACAACAACAACACACACACACCCAGGGACCCCTGTTCCACGCCCAGAAGATGACAAAAAACCTCCAGGATCTCCAGCCAATTTGGCCTGGAGAAAAATTGCTTCCTGACCCCAACGTGGCGATCAGCATTTCCCTGAGCATGTAAGAAAGGGCCACAAAAACTAAGCACGGAGGCAACCCTTCCTTCCCTCCCTCTCGTGATCTGCCTAAGTTCACAGGATGAGCATTGCTGCCACATGGTCATCTAGCCTCTTTTTAAAAAAAACCAAAGAAGGAGAGCCCACCACCTCCCGAGGCGGCCAAGAAGGAAATCCACAGTGGGCATTGTCTCTCCTAGAATGCTCACGAGTCTTGCCTATTTGAGAACTGTAGATTCTGGAATATTTTCTAATATTCTTAACTGAAGTGGAATACTTGCAGTGCCATCTGAAGGATAACGTACACCCTTCTGGGTCTGTTGAAGTCAGCAGGCTTAGAAGGGTTAAGCTCCGCTGAGGGTTGCACTGCTGATCATTCTGGTATATATTTAACAAACCGCAGTGCAAGCATCCTGGGTTGGGATCCAGGCTTCGCTTGCACTCAAGACCACCCATTTCCCATCTTTATTAAAGCCCCCAGCACACAGGGCTTTGGTCCATGCATCTTCCGTGATCCTCAGCACAGCCTCTTTTGGGTGGTCGGGTATGACCCCTCTTTCCTCTTTCACCAACACAAAAGTTGGCTGGATCCCACCCTCCGTCAACTCTCCTTTTTCTGCAAACCAGAAAGAGCTTTTCATTAACCAAAGGCTTTGAATGACGAGACTAGGAACAATCTCTATTACAAGGGCAGGATTTCTTTACCTGTCCCATTGACAACCTTCATTCAGGGTCCCATTGAAACTATGCTGCCACCAGTGTTCCCTCTAAGCTGAGTGAGTGTGAGCCAGCTCACAGTTTTTTAGCCTCCGGCTCACACATTTTTGTCTTAGCTCAGGAAGGGGGGGCTCCAGAGCAAACTAATTTATGCAGTAGCCAAATCGCCTGCTCGCAACTTTAATGCCAGTCGCTCACCAAGTAGGATTTTTGCTCACAAGACTCCACAGCTTAGAGGGAGTATTGGCTGCAGCCTGTACAAAGGCAGTCAGGAATCCTTGCATGGCAAACCATAATTTTATAAGGAGCATTCCCCTGCAGAAGCCCCAGTTTTGCTTGCTCGAAAATGGCATCTGTTCAGACCCAATTGCCCAGCCTCCTTTGCCCTGGTCACAGTTCCCACTTCTGTACCTTGGAAGTCATCAAAACAGAAGATCCACCCAGCAGAAGGCTCCCTCCAGCTCCAAGTCAGAGTCTGAGGGAGAAGTTGGCTCTTCTTTGTGCCTTACGGTGATGCTCGGCTCCTTTATGAATGGAGTGAAAGGTGGGAAGAAGCATATTTTTGCCTTGGGTGGAAGAAAGCGTCAGTGTCTGTGTGCAAGGCAAGGTGTGTGAGTTCTGCTGCATAAGTAGAGCTGCAGGTTTAATCAGTCCCCTGAATGAACTGGAGGACCAAATCCCTGAGGAACAAAGCCACTTGCCACCAAAAATTGCATTTCTTGGGACATCTCCTCACCACCTTCACTATGGCGCATGACCTGCATTTCCAAAATGCTTCCGAAGACAGAGCGGTGCTCAGCCCCATGATGAATCCCTTTGTGTATTCCTAAAACAGCGAAGTAAATCTGTATCTTTTTTTAAAATTATTTGTTTGAAAATATGTATACCCCACCCTCCATGTTAGCATTAAAAAAATATATCTCAGAATAGAATGTCAAAACAAAACAGCAACTCCAAAAGCAATAACCAGCGATGGATGTCATAAAAAACAAAGCTGAACATTCCAAAAACTGCATGACAATGAATAAAACCAAGAGCCAAAAAAATCATGCGGCAATAAAGCCATAATGTGATAAAAAAGCAGGAATTTGAAGGGCCAGGCAGACGGGGGGAGGGGGCAAGGAAAAGGAGGAGAAGGACTCCTCTGCAAATGCTCTTGTCTTCCAAAAAAAAAAATTAGTATACTCAGTAGTTTCTCGGTTCATTTCTAACATTTGGATCCAACTGGGTTCCCAAAGACCTCACTGGAATATGATAGGGTCTGATGGCCTCCCAAACCCCCTCCCCACCCCCATTTAGTTTCCCCCTCTACAAGCTATGCATGCCAACTCCTGGAGGTTTGGGGGACAAGCCCGGGGAAGGTGTGGTTGGGGGAAGGATGGAACCTCAGCTGGGTATGGTTGGGAAATTCCTGGAGATTTGGGGGCAGAGATGGACAAAGGGCCACAGTGAGGTATAAATGCCATAGAGCCTGCCCTCCAAGACAGCCATTTCTTCCGGGGGAACTGTCAGCTATGCTGCCATGGGGGTTGGGATGTTCTTTCAGTGTCTGTGTAAACGGCCTTCGCATTCCTTTCTCTCTGCTTTCTCTCCGCTTAGCGCTGAAATGCTTATCTCAAAAGAAGTACAGGTGGCCAGCCGTGGGAGCCGAAATATTCCCAGCTTTGCATAGTAACGCTTGCTGGTTCTAGCCCACGCGCGGGAGGGTGCCTAATTGGCCAGCACAGGGGGGGGGTGCATACGAATGCCCTATATCCGGGGGTCATTTCGTAGA